GTTCCTGGTCTTACAGGAAAAGCTTTCAGAGTTTCCCTAGACTATGATGTTACCAATGGGCTTGTCATAAATGGCCTTTTTTATGTTGAGGAAATTCCTTCTATATCCACTTTGTTGACAGTTGTTATAATGAATCACTGTTGGATTTTGTTAAATGCTTTTTTGCATCTATTGAAATGATCATATGGGGGTTTTTTGGTGATTTTTTTAAAAAAAGTTTTTATTGGGGTGCCTGGGTGGCTCAGTGGGTTAAAGCCTCTGCCTTCAGCTCAGGTCATGATCCCAGGGTCCTGGGATCGAGCCCCACATCGGGCTTTCTGCTCAGCGGGGAGCCTGCTTCCTCCTCTCTCTCTGCATGCCTCTCTGCCTACTTGTGATTTCTCTCTGTCAAATAAATAAATAAAATCTTTTAAAAAAAAGTTTTTATTTCCAGCTAGTTAACATGAAGCATTATATTAGTTTCAGGTATAAAATATAGTGATTCATATGGTTTTGAGGCTTCATTTTGTTAATGTGGTGTATGACATTGATTTTGTAATGTTGAGCCATCCTTGCATCCCTAGAATAAATTCCATTTCATTGTGGTATATAATCCTTTCAATGTATTATTTTAATGTATTGTCAGTTTGCTAATATTTTGAGTATTTTGCATGTATATTCGTCAGGGATATAGACTTGAATTTTTTTTAGGTTTATTTATTTATCTTTTAGTAATCTCTACATTCAACATGGGGCTTGAATTCCTGAGCCAGAGATCAAGAGTTTCATGCTCTTCCAACTGAGCCAGTCAGGTGCCCCTGGAATTTTCCTGTGGTACCCTTGTTTGGTTTTGGTACCAAAATAATGTTATTCTTATGAAATGAGATTAGAAGTGTTCCCTCTTCTATTTTTTGTAGCTTAAGAATTGGAATTCAGGGGCGCCTGGGTGGCTCAGTCAGTTAAACATCTGCCTTTGGCTCAGGTCATGATCCCACGCTCCTGGGATCATGCCCTGCATTGGGCTCCCTGTTCAGCAGGTAGTCTGCTTCTCCCTCTCCCCTGCTCATGTTCTGTTTGTTTCTCTCTCTCTCAAATAAAATCTTAAAAAAAAATTGGAATTCATTCTCCTCTAAATGTTTGTTAGCATTCGCTGGTGAAGTCAGTTGATTCTATACTCTTTTTTGTTGGAGTATTTTGATTCCTGATTCAGTCTCCTTACTCATATTGATCTGTTAGATTTTTATGACCCAGTTTTGATAGTTTCTAGGAATCCAACCATTTTTTCTAGGTTGTCTAATTTGTTAGCATATAATTGTTTATAGTAATCTCTTAAGATCCTATATAGATCCTTTCTGTTTCTGTGGCATGTATTGTTTTATCTCCTTTTCATTTCTGATTCGAGTCTTCTTTGTTTCTTGACGAGTCTTTCCTGGAGATTTGTCAATTTTATCTTTACAAAGAAACAGCTCTTGGTTTTATTGATCATTTCTACTGTCTTTTTAGTTACAATTTCATTTATTTCTGCTCTGATCTTTGTTATTTCCTTCTACCACTTGGGCTTCATTTTTTTTCTTTTTTTTTTCTTTTTATTGAGTATAATTAACATACAGCATTATATTAGTTTCAGTCATACAACATATTGACTTGCCAATTCTATAATTACTTAATGCGCATAATGAGTGTAGCCATCCTGTGTCACAAAACAGTATTATTACAATATTGACTCTATTCCTCATGCTATACTTCTTATCTCTGTGACTTATTGTATTTCCTAATGTCTTTTGTTTCACCACCTCCCCTCCTGTTGGGCAACCACCTACCTGTTCTCTGTATTGAAGATTTTTTCAAAGATTTTATTTATTTATTTGACAGACAGAGATCGCAAGTAGGCAGAGAGGCAGGCAGAGAGAGAAGGGGAAGCAGGCTCCCCGCTGAGCAGAAAGCCTGATACGGGGCTTGATCCCAGGACTCCGGGCAGAGGCTTTAACCCACTGAGCCACCCAGGCATCCCTCAAATAAATAAAATTAAAAAAAAATTTAAAAATTCATATGATTTGCAGATAGCGACAGTTTTTCTTCTTTTCAAGTTTAGATGACTTTGAATTCTTTGCCTTGCCTAGATGCTCTAGCTAGGACTTTCAGGACTATCTTGAATAGGAGTGGTGAGAGTGGGTACACTTGTTCAGAATCTTAGAGGAAAGCCTTTTTCGCTGTTGAGTCTAATGCTAGCTGTGGGTTTGTCATGTACGGCCTTTATGATCACTATGTATGTTCCTTTCACACTCAATCTTTCAAGGCTTTTTAAAATAATAAAATATTGTATTTCCTCAAATGCTTTTTCTACACTAAGATGCTGTTTCATTTTATTAATGTGATGTTACATTTATTAATTTGTGTATATTGAACCATCCTTGCACCTCGGGGTGGGGAGCAACCAATTGGATATAGTGTATAATCCTTTTAATGTATTTTTGAACTTGGTTTGCTAATATTTTGTTGAGAATTCTTGTATCTATATTCATCATGGTATTGGTACATAATTTTCTTGCAGTGTCCTTATCTGGCTTTGGCTATCAGGGTAATGCTGGTAGATACCTTGTAGAATGCATTTCGAAGTGTTCCCTCATCTTAAATTTTTCTTGAAAGAGTTTAAGAAGGATTGGCATCAATTCTTTTTAAGTGTTTGGTAGAATTAGCTAATAAAGCCATATAGTCCTGGGGTTTTGTTTTAGGAGGTTTGTGATTACTGATTCGATCTCCTTATCAGTAATTGGTCTGTTCAGATATTCTATTTCTTCATGATTCAATCTTGGTATATTTCTTTTTTTTTTTTTAAAGATTTTATTTATTTATTTGATAGAGACACAGTGAGAGAGGGAACACAAGCGGGGGGGGGGGTAGTAGGAGAGGGAGAAGCAGACGCCCCATGGAGCAGGGAGCCCAATGTGAGGCTTAATCCCGGATCTTGGGATCATGACCTGAGTTGATGGCAGATGCTTAATGACTGAGCCACCCAGGCACCCCAATAGATTTGTTTCTGAGATTATTATATCTCTTAGGTTCCAATTTATTATATCTCTTAGGTATGCAATTTTTTTTGGCATATAATTGTTCATAGTAGCCTCTTGTCCTTTGTATCCATTATAATGTCTGCTTTATCACTTATAAATCTATTGGTTTGGGTTCTCTTTTTTTCATTGGCTAGTGCAGCAAAATGATTTGTCAACTATGTTTATTATTTGACAGAATGAACACTTACTTTTAATCTTTTCTATTGTTTCCCCTTTTCTATTTCTATTTCTGCTCTAAGCCTTCTGCTAACTTTGGGCTCAGTTTGTTTTGTTCTTTTTCTAGTTCCTAAAGCATTGTTTGGTTGCCTATTTGAGAACTTATTTCTTAATATAATCGTTTGTAGTTAGGAACATCCTTTAGAACTATTTTTTTGCTGCATCCTATAAGTTTTCATATGCTGTGTTTCCATTTTTGTCTTGAGATGCTATTTTATTTCCTCCTTACTTAATTCACTGGTTATTCAGTGCAGTGTTTAATTTTGAAGACTTTTTGAACTTTCTAGTTTTCTTTCTAGTTTGATTTGTTTTCATGGCATTGTGGTCAGAGAAGATTCTTGGTATGATTTCAGTCTTTGAATTTGCTAGGATTTTTTGTAGCCTAACATATGGTCTTAGATAATATTCCAGGTGTGCTTAAGTAAAATTTGTATTCTATTGTCAGGTAGAATGTTCTGTATATGTCCGGTCCATTTGGTCTATGGGCTTGTTAAAATTTGCTGTTGCCATATTGATTGGATGATCTACCATTGAGACTGGGTGTATTAAAGTTCTGCAATATTAATACATTTCTGCTTTTAGCTCTGTCAGTTTTTGCTTTGTATATTTTGATGCTTTGATGTTGGATGCATAAATATTTACAATAGTTATATCTTCTTGGATGATTAACCCCTTTATCATTATGTAACAACCTTTAAAGGTCTCTTTTTACCATTTTTAGGCTAAAGTATATTGTCTGCTGTAAGTGTAGTTACCTGTTTTTTTTTTTCTTCTTCTTCTTTCTTTTTGGTTACCATTTGATGAATATCTTTTTCCATCCCTTCACCATTAGTCAACGTGTATCTTGTATGAAGCGTATTGCCAGATCTTGTTGTCTTAGCCATTTAGCCATTCTGTTTTTTGACTGGAGAATTTAATCCATTTGTAAAGTTATTATTGATAAAGACTAACTACTGTCATTTTGTTCATTGTATTCTGGCTGTTTTGACCCTTTATTCTTTGTTTTTATCCTGCTGTTGGGTTTTCTCTGATGTCTTTCAATAGCAATTTTTTTTAAAGATTTTATTTATTTATTTGACAGAGAGAAATCACAAGTAGGCAGAGAGGCAGGCAGAGAGAGAGGAGGAAGCAGGCTCCCTGCTGAGCAGAAAGCCCGATGTGGGGCTTGAACCCAGGACCTGGGATCATGACCTGAGCCGAAGGCAGCGGCTTAACCCACTGAGCCACCCAGGCGCCCCTCAATAGCAATTTTTTTTTAAAGATTTATTTATTTGACAGTCAATATCAATTTCTGACTTCTCTCTCTCTCTTCCCGCCCCTCCTCAGCTCACACATTTAATCAAAGAATTTTGGCAGCTGTGTCTTTCCCTCCTTCCTCTCCCCTAGAAGTAGAGCGCTGCTCTATCAGTGCAGAAGCAGCGTCACTGAACACGAGTTTTAGTCCCACTCGCAGAGGGCACGATCCTTCGGGCTGTGGTTCGGTTCACGGCTCTATGTGGTGCATCAGGGCCCGGCTTGGGGGGGTCATTTCTTCACACCCTGCCCAGTCTGATCACAGGGCTTCCCCGGGGATGTCGGTTTGGCCTGGGCTTTCTGATTAATGAGGGCTCTGCAGGCCAACAGTCTGACTCCGGATTCAAAGCCGTGCACTGTGCCCAGGATGACTGCTGAGCGCCGAGGCCCGGGTCGAGCCCAGAAGGGAAAGCCGGCGACCCTGGCCCGCACAGCCTGGGTTTAGGGGTTAGCTCTGGGGCCCCTCTGGTTACCTGGCAGTGACCCTGGGCATTCCCAGAGGCCGCAGCGCAGCTCCTCAGTGAAGGTGTCTCTAAAGTGGGCAGCGTGGCGACCCAGGGAGCACGCGGGCCCAGCCACGAGGGCTCGAAGACGCCGGGCTGCGTCCTGGCGGCACAGCTGGGCCTGCATCAGTGCAGACCCCGCGAGGCGCTTAGACTCGGACAGACGCTCCACCAGCTGCGGGCGGTGCTGCAGGACGGCCAGGAGCCGCGGAAGAACCATCCTCTGGGCTACCCGGAATCCGAAGCACGCCGCTCTCAATTTCTGACTTCTCTGTCAACGTGGGGCTCAAACTTACGAGCCTGAGATCAAGAGTCACAGGTCCTACTGACTGAGCCAGCCAGGGACCTCTATCATGAACTTTTACTACAGATTTTTTTTTTTTTTATTTCCATGTGGTTACTATGAGGCTTACATAAAATATCTTTAAATTTTAACACCCTTTAAAAACTGGTAACTTCAGTGGCATTCCTAAATTTTATACTTTTACTCTCCCTCTCACATTTCAGGTTAATGATGTTACAGCTTACATTATTTTTTCAACATATATTGTGTATAGAAAAATTATTATACTTATGGGTATTTTTACTATATTTTCTAACTTAAAATTGGAGTTATAAGTGGATCTTTAATTACATTACAGAATCCAACTTTGAGCATATATTTACCGTTACCAGTGAGCTTTACACTATCTTATGTTTTTATGATGTTAATCAGTGTTCTTTTACATCTACTCAAAGAACTCCCGTTAGTATTTCTTGTAAGGCAGGTGTAGTGGTAATGAATTCCCACAGCTTTTGATTGGTCGTAAGTCTTTGTCCTTCAGAAAAGGAGAGAGAGATTTGCCAGGTATAGAAAAGTCTTGTTTTGACAATTTAATTCTCTCAATGTTCTTCTTTTTTTAAATTTTTTTTTTAAGATTTTTTATTTGTTTGTCAGAGGGAGAGAGAGAGAGACAGCGCGAGTGAGCACAAGCAGACAGAGCGGCAGGCAGAGGCAGAGGGAGAAGCAGGCTTCCTGCCAAGCTAGGAGCCCGATGTGGGACTCGATTCCAGGACACTGGGATCATGACCTGAGCCAAAGGCAGCCGCTTAACCAACTGAGCCACCCAGGAGTCCCTCTCTCAATGTTTTTCTTTCAATATTTTGAATATATCATTCCATTCACTCCTGGCCTAAAAAATTTCTATTGGGAAATCCACCCATCATTTTATGGGAGTTCCTTTGTATATAAATTATCTTTCTCTTGCCACTTTCAAAATTCTGTCTTTGACTTTTGACAATTATGTCTTGCTGTATCCCTATTCATGTTCAACCTAGTGGGGGTCAGGTCTCAGGGAATGTGGATGTCCATTTCTCTCTGAGTTTGAGAAGTTTTCAGCCATTCTTGGTTTAAGTCTTCTTCTGGATTTTCCATAATGCAGATATTGTTTCTTTTGACTGTGTTCTATTAAGTCCTGTAGGCTTTCTTCACTCTTTCATTCCTTTTTCTTTTTGCTGCTCTGACTAGATACTTCAACTCTCTAGTCTTCTAGGACACTGATTAATTCTTCTGCATGGTCACATCTGCTTTTCAAGCTTTCTATTGAATTCTTCAGTTCATTAATTGTATTTTTCATCTCTAGGCTTTGTTTATTTTATTTTATTTTTTTGTTTACTAAGTAATCTCTATACCCAACATGGGGCTCAAACTCATGACCCTGAGATCGAGAGTTGCATGTTTTTTTTTTTTTTTAAGATTTTATTTATTTATTTGACAGAGATCACACGTAGGCAGAGAGGCAGGTGGTGGTGGGCGGTGGGGGGGGGGGGAAGCAGGCTCCCCGCTGAGCAGAGAGCCCGAGGTGGGGCTCAATCCCAGGACCCGAGATCGTGACCTGAGCTGAAGGCAGAGCCTTAACCCACTGAGCCACTCAGGCGCCCAAAGAGTTGCATGCTTTGCTGACTGAACCAGCTTGGCCCCCCTCTGTTTGACAAAGAAACAGAAATCATGAAAAACAACCAAACTTCTCATTTTCTCCATGCATTGTTTTACTAATTTTGTTTAGTTATACTATACATCAGTGTGTTCTTGTAGTTCACTAAACTTCTTTAAGAGGAATATTTTGTTTGACATTTTATACATTTCCATTTCTTTAGGGTATCAGAGCTTTATTAGTTTCCTTTGGTAGTATTATGCTTACCTGATTTTTCATGATCCTTCATTACTTACATGGGTAGCTGCACATTTTGAGTAAGTGGTCTTCTCTTTCAGGATTTATAGGTTCACTAAGTAAGGAACCAGTTTAGTCAGGTCAGTTTAGCTTTCTGGACTGTTTGCTGATAGTGTCATTGGGCAGATGGGACTGCTAACAATGTCTGTTTTGGATCAAGGCCAACTGCCTGAGCTCTGAAGTTCGGGGAGCTGTGAATAGTGGTATAGGAATGCTAGCTTGGTTCCCTGCCCAAGCAAGGCTGTAGGCTGGGCTCTGGAGTTGCCTGGGATCTCTAGTCAGGCTTACTAGCTGGTAAGGACTGGGTACTATACTCAGAGGTAGGCAGGGTTATGCATTATCTTCTCTGTGTTGTTTGGGCAGCAAGACAGACACTTCAGTGCCCACATGGCTCATTGTTTGAGGACCCATATTAGGCAAGACTGGGCACTGAATTCTCTGGCTACTTAAAGGTACACAAATCAAGGTAGTCTGAGTAACCTTTCACATTTATGTTGATGGTCACATTTTGTTGGATAGAGTATATCTACATTACAATTCAGTAGAAAATGCCAAATCGATTTTCCAAATATATTGATCAAGAAAACACACATGGTAAGCCAAGGAACAAAGGGGGAGGATACAGAAATATCACCTCACACTTAAAGAGTACAAACAATTTGGAGCAAATCTACATATGTCACAGTATGTTTCTGGGTTTCAATATCTATGTCTAGGGGACTGTCTGTTATGTTTGCCTATTTATCAGATGTTTCCTAGTAGCTATGTGCACAGGTTTGAGGTTAGTACAATGTTTTAACTTGTGTGATTCTGGACTTGTCTGTAAGTCCTTTATCTAGTGCATAGTTCAGAAGGTAGTTGATTAGAAGGACTGTATTCAAAATTCTTTGTATGCTTTATAAGAAAGGAAAGATACTGATTACTTAATCTCTACACCCAACATGGGGTTCGAATTCACTACCCAAGAACAGGAGTCACATGCTCTACTGATTGGTCCAGCCACGTGCCCCTACTTAAGACCTTAAACACAAAGCTTTCAGTGTAATGAACTGCATAAATTTTAGACATCAGAAGGAAAAATAAATGAGGAAAAAATGGAATTCAAAGAAAAACAAAAATAAGACATATGAAAAGCATAAAATTAGATACCTGAATTAAATCCAAATATTAGTAATTATATTACAAATAAATGGACTAAATGCTTCTATTAAATAAGGACTGTTATTATGGATTTAAAAATTATCAATATTAGTGCAATATGTGATTCTGAATCCCCCCCTTGCCCCAAAACAGGCCAAATAAAGGAAAGTTTAAATAAGGTTTGTAGATTAGTTGATAGTATTTTGTCAATGTTAATTTCCTAGTTTCGGTAATTATACTAAGGTTATCTAAGCTGTCAAACTTAAGGAGAGGTGGGTGAAAAATATATAGGGACACAGGTCTTATTTTTACCTCTCTGAATGCCTGAATTTATCTCAAAATGAGAACTTTATTTAGAATCCAGAGTTTTTAAATGACAGCTACAGGTTTTTAAAAAGTCATCTAAAATGCTTAAGAAATCAGGTTGAGAAATACAGGAGAAACAATATGATAAAGATACATAAAAATCTGACAAAAGATTTTAATGAAATGGGCATTTAGAGAGATAAAGGGTTACTTACAATATTTAAATTAATTTACCAAAAAGCAACAGCAATTCCAAAATGATATGCAGCTAATATAACACAGCTTTCAAAAAAATAGAAAACCAAAATAGACAATATAAAAAGAGAATTATAAAAGCTACCCTCAGAGTAGAACATTTCTGATACACCTCTCTCTGGAACAGAATAGAGGAACATTCAATAACCACAAAGGCTTGAGCAAAACAATTAATGAGCTGGACCCAGAGACAGAGGGCACTGCTGGCTGCAAACATTCTTTTCAAGCTTGCATGAAACACTTCTGCAAACTGACCACACACAGGGACAGAAAGCATATCTCAAACGTGTCAAAAGATTAATATAATTCTGTAAAGACCATGAAGCTTGGTCACAATCAATAACAAAAACATTAAAAATACAACATATGGTGGAAATATACAAACACATTTTGAAATAATGTCAAACTACAAACTAGCCAAAGCTTCAAATGCTTACATAACAGAATAAAGTCTGAAAAATGGTCTATGCATTTGAGTTGAGGTAGGAAAGGAATAATAAACACAGAGGCACTTGGGTAGCTCAGCTGGTTAAGCATCTGATGCTTGATCTCAGGTCAGGTCTTCATCTTGGGTCGGGAATTCAAGCCTTGCACTGGGTTCCATGCTGGGTGTGGAGCCTATTTAAAAATAAATACATACATATAAGGAAAGTATGGTCTGACTACAACGCTGCTTGTTGACAGGCCAAGACTGGCAATAAAACAGATGAAAAAATATCCCATGCAAAAAGAAACCAAAAGATGGGGTGCCTGGGTGGCTCAGTGGGTTAGAGCCTCTGCCTTCAGCTCAGGTCATGATCTCCGGGTCCTGGGATTGAGCCCCACATCAGGCTTTCTGCTTAGCAGGGAGACTGCTTCCTCTTCTTTCTCTGCCTGCCTCTCTGCCTACTTGTGATCTCCATCAAATAAATAAAATCTTTAAAAAAAAGTTTTTTCAATTAGCCAACATATAGTACATCATTAGTTTCTGATGTAGTGTTCAATGACTCATTAGTTGCGTTTAAGATTCAGTGATCATCACAATGTGTTCCCACCTTAGAAATTTTAAATATTTTTTATTTAAAAAAATTGCCATTTGGGGAAAAAAAAAAAGTTTTGTAGTACCTCTTCCCAATGTATACATATCAGTAAGGTGACTTAGAGAACAGAAGTCAGTGGTTCACTTTGGGTCCTCCTAACTGAGCCAGCAGCTAATTGCTCAGGCGCAGACCACTGATTTCAACTGTGCATCAAGGACTTAAAGCAGAGTCTATTAAAAACAAAGGGTATCAATAATGACTTACCAGAGGACAAATCAACAGCTGCTTCCCTGTAAGGGTGACAGTATAATTTACCTGACCTTCCTTTCTTTGACACCAAGACCATATCAGGGTATCTTATGAATGTAAGAATATACGGCCATCTCCATCCCTCTGGGGAACAGTTGTACTATGGAGTTGTACTATGTAGTAACCAATAAATATTATCTGTCAACAAATATCATATGTTAGCTCTGTGAGGATAATATAGGAGAACCCCACTAAAAATGGTATGCCCTGCCACTCTGGAAAACAGGATGGAGATTCCTCAAAAAGTTGAAAACAGAACTACTCCATGACCCAGCAATTGCAATACTAGAGATTTACCCCAAAGATATAAAAGTAGCAATCTGAAGGGGCACTTGCACCCCAATGTTTATAGCAGCAATGTCCATGATAGGCAAACTATGGATGTCCATCAACAGACCCAGATGTCTATCGACAGATGAACTAAAGATGTGGTGTATATACAAATACAATAGAAATTACCCCGCCATCAAAAAGAATGAAATCTTGGGGCGCCTGGGTGGCTCAGTGGTTAAAGCCTCTGCCTTCAGCTCAGGTCATGATCCCAGGGTCCTGGGATCGAGCCTCACATCGGGCTCTCTGCTCAGCAGGGAGCCTGCCTCCTCCTCCTCTCTCTCTCTCTGCCTGCCTCTCTGCCTACTTGTGATCTGTCTGTCAAATAAATAAAAATCTTTAAAAAAAAAAAATGAAATCTTGCCATTTGCAACAACATGGATGGAGCTAGAGTATATTATGCTAAGTAAAATGAAACAGAAACAAATACTGTATGATTTCATTCACATATGGAATTTAAGAAAACAGATGAACATATGGGAGGCAAAAAAGAGAAAGAGAGGGAAAAACAAACCAGAGACTGTGAAAGAACAAACAGGGTTGATGGAGGGAGGTGGGTGGGGAAATGGGCTAAATGGGTGATGAATATCAAGGAGGGGAGTTGATACGATGAGCATTGGGTGTTATGTGTAAATGATGAATCACTGAAATCTCCTGAAATCAATATTGCATTACATGTTAACAAAACAGGATTTACATAAAAATTAGGGAAAAAAGAATTCAAAATAACAGTCATAAAGATATTCAAGAAACTGAGAAGAATGGATGAACATACTAAACATTTCAACAGAAACAGAAAACATCAAGTAACAAACAGGGCTGCCTGGATGACCTCTTTGAAAGAGCGTGACTTCTCAGGAAACTGCTTTCCCTGAAGAGAAGGAGGAAAAATTGTCTCTTTCATTTCTAAAGCTGATGTCACAGGAATGAGTGAAATTTAGAGATGTGGCCGTGATCTTTTCTCCAGAGCAATGGGCTCATTTAAGCCCTGAAGAGAAAAAACTGTATAAGGATGTAATGCTGTGATTACCTTGTATTTTTGGACACTATGTTTTGGTGCACTTATAAGGTAGATGTGATATCCTCTTTGAGGCAAGGAAAGGAGCCCTGGGTGCTGGAGAAAGATGGTAACAAGTGCTCCATGCCCAGTGTGTCAGGAAGCTCTCACTATGTTAAGATAGAAAACTTTGTACTTTTGTCCAATGTTATGAACATAATGAGTGCAGCACGACTTTCAACCATGTCTCCCACCTTACTGAACATCAGTGAAGTCACAAGGTAGAGAAAGCCCACAAACATGGTCAAACAAAGGTCTTTAGGCACTGCTCATCATTTAGAACACTCTAAATATTTAAATTCTAGATAAATAATTAGGAAGTAATCAGTGTTGCAAAACCTTTAACAGAGCTTCAAAAGTTATTTCACACCAGAGCATATACATAAACTAAAGCCACACAGATGTGATGTATATCAGAGCCTATAGGTTTCTCTCATCCTTTAACACACACCAGAGTTTTCATGTTGGCAAGACCAAACCTGACTCACCACCAAAAAATTCATACTCAAAAGAAACTCTTTGCCTCTGTACCAAATAATTCATATTAAAAGAAAATATTATACATGTAATTAGTTTAAAAAGGACTTCAGTCCATACGATTTATCCTACATCAAAAAGTTCATACTAGGGGCACCTGGGTGGCTCAGTGGGTTGAGCCTCTGCCTTCAGCTTGGGTCATGGTTTCAGGGTCCTGGGATCAAGCCCTGCATGGGGCTCTCTGCTCAGTGGGGAGCCTGCTTCCCCTCTCTCTCTCTCTGCCTGCCTCTCTGCCTACCTGTGATCTCTCTCTCTGTCAAATAAATAAATAAAATCTTTAAAAAAAAAAAAGTTCATACTAAGAGAGACTCTACAAATGTATTGTGAAAAAAATCCTTTAAAACTGGCTCAAGGTGCCTAGGTGGTTCAGTTGGTTAAGCATGTGACTCTTGGTTTTGGTTCAGGTCATGAGCTCAGGGTCCTGAGATCAAGCGCCATTATGAGGTTCCCCACTCAGAGGGAGTCTGCTTGGGATTCTCTCCCTCTCCCTCCCATTCCTTCTTGTCCCTCTCCTTGCTCATGCTCATTTGTTCTCTCTCTCTCCCTCTCTCAAATAAATAAAATCTTTAAAAAATAAAAATAAAGGGGAGGAGCAAGATGGTGAGGACTAGGAGACCGAAATTTCATCTGGTCCCAGAATTCAGCTAGTCAGAAACCATTCTGAACACCTACAAACTCAACAGGAGATTGAAGAAAAGAACAGCAGGAATTCTATGAAGAGAAAAGCAACCACTTTCTGGAAGGTAGGACGTGTGGAGAAGTGAATCCGAGGTGATAAATGGGGAGACAGGCTGCAGGGCGGAGGGGCCAGCTCCCGGCAAGCAATAGAGCAGTGGAGCACAAAACTGGAACTTTTAGAAGTCTGCTCCACAGAGGGACGTCACTCCAGAGGCTAAGCAGGGGGTGGAGCCCTCACTGGGACAGTGTGGTCTCAGGACTTACGGGGTCACAGAAAGACCAGGAGTGCCTAAGTGTGGCAGAGTTCTCAGGTATTAGAGCAGGGAAGCCGGCTGCAGAGGAAAACTGGAAAAAACAAGGAGAGGGGCTCTCAGCTTGGGGTTACCTTGAACTGTGACCCGAGGCACAGTCAGGCCACTACTCTTCAAGCAGGGACCCCACAAGTGGCAGATCCAGGGTTCCACGAGAAGGAGCAGCGCAGAATGCTATAGGAATCTGTTGGGTTTGGAGACTCCAGATGGGGCTGTGTGCCAGAGATAGAGGTGCTTGGTCAGAGACTGGGTGAGCACGGAGTGTGGCCAGAGACCAGAAAGACAGGAGTGATGACTGCTTTTGTCTGAGGGCTCACTGAAGAGGGGGGCCCACTGAGCCACCCAGGCGCCCCTTAAAAACATTTTTAATTTTCATTTTTATTGTCATATTCTATCCCTTCATTGTATTTAACCTTATTTTTTTATATACATATATGCTTTTCTTTCTCTTAAAATTTTGGGTTTCTTCTAACAGACCAAATATACCCTAAATCTAGTGTATGGCTTTGTCCTAGCCTCCAGACTGATCACATTCTGTTTTTTCTTTTCTTTTTTTTTTTTTTTTTGTCAGAGAGAGAGGGAGAGAGAGCGAGCACAGGCAGACAGAATGGCAGGCAGAGACAGAGGGAGAAGCAGGCTCCCCGCCAAGCAAGGAGCCCGACGTGGGACTCGATCCCAGGACGCTGGGATCATGACCTGAGCCGAAGGCAGCTGCTTAACCAACTGAGCCACCCAGGCGTCCCTTTTCTTTTTTTTTTAAACCAACTTATCAATTTCTTTTTAAAAATCTTTTAAAAAAATCTTTTAAAATTTTATCATTATAGTTATATTCCATCCCTTCATTGTGTTTACTCTTATTTTTATATATAAGTTTTTCTTTCTTTAAAATGTTGGGAGAAGGGGCACCTGGATGGCTCAGTCATTTAGTGGTTGCCTTTGGCTCAGGTCATGATCCCAGGGTACTGGGATTGAGCCCTGCATTGGGCTCCCTGCTCAGCGGGAAGCCTGCTTCTCCCTTTCCCACTCCCTCTGCTTGTGTTCCCTTTCTTGCTGTGTCTCTCTCTGTCAAATAAACAAATAAAATCTTTAAAAAAAAAAAGTTGGGAGGCAATTTCTTCTAGCAGACCAAAATACACCCAAAATCAAGTGTGTGTCTCTGTTCCATTCACCAGCCTAATCACACTTTTTTTTTCCCTTCTTCTCCCCCCAGTCCCCAGCCACAACCTCGCTAGTTTTGGATCTCTTCTGATTTGGTTAGTGTATATTTTTCTGGGATCATCGTTACCCTTTTAGCATTTTGTTCTCTCATCATCTATTCTTCTCTGGACAAAATGACAAGGTGGAAAAACTCACTTCAAAAAAAAAAAAAAAAGAACA